GCATTGTATATTCATTGCAAGTAATGAACTTATGAAAAGGAAAATTTTCTTCACAGAAATAAAGCGCTGGGAAAATCTCCATCCCCTCATCATTTGCCCCGATAGACTGAGGGTGAGCATTGGAATCTGTTTCTGTTGGAAGTAGCAAAGGAGGTTGGAGCAACAGAAGTAAAGTCAGTCGCAGACAAGGCTCTGAGCCAAAGCCTCAGACCCAGGGGGACTGGATACAGGAAACAGAACCAGGCAGGTAAATGGCTAAGCAGTAAGGATGGGCAAACATGTATCTTTCAGGGCACGAACACATTAAGGTGGTTGTTACCTCCTGCTATGTTTCAAGTCACACTTTATGTTGCCGGACACATTATTCACCTGATTTGTTTCCCGTGCCTGCAGTCCTCACACAGCTGTTATTCAGTGAAGCCATCACCTGTGCATATACAAACCTCAGCTTAATGGGAGATTACATTTTCAAACTGGATGGAAGCTGGTTTGAGGGAAAGCACATGAAACAGCAGTATTTCTCAAGAAGCTACAGAATACAGATGGATTGTGACAGTGAGTATGGGAGGGGGGCAGGTAAGCCCCGCCCTGCATAATCAATCACATGACAGGGCACATCGACATCATTTGAGGGCTTGTCCCCCTCAAATATTTTATTGGGGGAGGAGCAAAAACCATCTAAGAGTTGGCTTCCAAGAATTGTGACTAATGCTATGCATTTTGGGCTTCAAACACCAGTTGTGGGAGTGCACTGGAGCCAGAGTAAATGGGATTGTGTACCCAGCCTCAGTTTTCCTGTTTGTCATTCTTCCAGTGTTGGCCACATTCGCACTCTTAAAGCACTATGATGCCACTTTAAATACTCATGGCTTCCTCCCAAAGAATGCTGGAAGCTGTAATTCTCTAAGGGTGCTGAGAGTTGTCAGAAGACCCCTGTTTTCTTCCCAGTGGTTTCCTTCTCAGACTGATTTCACAATTAATCCTTCTTCATGGGGAACTCTGGAAATTGTAGCTCTGGGGGGTGGAAAAGAGGTTTCTTAACAACTCTCAGCACTCTTAACAAAAGCTATAGTTCCCAGGATTCTTTGTCGTAATATAGCTTTTTTAATGGATGGTGTGAATGTGGCCCTTGTTCAGTTCTTTACATTTCTATATCAGTTAGTGGAGTGTTTTTCTTTAAGACCTCATGAAAATTCAGCATCATTTCAGTGCAAATTTCTCCTAACAGAGCAGATTCTGGTATGTAGGTTTGACTGATAATACTTTTTTTTTTTTTAAAGCAAAATAGCCACCTCAGACCACCTCATAAAAAGGTAAGTAATTAATGTGTGAAGAGCAAATGTTCATGGAACTGTAGACTACTATGCATATTTAAGTTCTGGACTTAAGCAGTAGCCCAGGAAGCGCAAATCAATTAAGTTCACTTAATTGTGGAATGAATGATATCTTTAAGGATCTCTAGCAGCAAAAATACATAGCACAAAAACAAAAGCAACATTTAAAAGCCCTGGCAAAACAGAAACTTCCCCAGACCATGAACTTCTCTAGGTAAAGAACTCCAGAGATGCGAGGTCAAACCAGAAAGTGCCCTGTCTTTGGTCACCACCTGCCTTTCTTCAGCTGGATTGGGACCACATAGCAAGAATTTGTAAAGCACACGGTTTTACCCAAAGACTTATAGGAACTGTGGCTCCATGAGGAGGAAGCTGGAGATCCCAGGATTCTTGAGGGACGCCATGACTGTTAAAATGGTATAAATATGCTTTGAATGTATGGTGTGGATCGGCAGGTTCATGTAGAAGCAGGTGGTCCCTTTAGAATATATATAAAATACCACTACCACTGAAAACCAAAAACCCAACAGCAAATTGTAACTTCAGACATGGATAAATAGCAGCACTCAATTAAAGTAGAACTGCTGTTCTACTTTAAGCTGCAAGTGATGTGGCAACTCTGGGTTGTGTCCAATACTATTCCTACTTAGAGACCCATTGAAATAATGGACATGCCTTCTTTCTGATGCAGCTTGATTCTAAAGTTAGTAATTAATGCAGAGTTGGGATGGCTTAATACCAAGAGAAAAGGTTTCCCTGTAGCCTCTGTTATGAAGAAATTCACCCAAAGAAGGTGCAACAGAATTTGTCAGTCACATGAAACAGGCACTGTCTGATGATACCCCACCATTACTGCTGCAACTATGCAAAGGGAACTGTCCACCCAAACTTAGAGGAACTGTCCATCCTCGTTATTGGGCATTTGTCAGTCATATTCCATTCACAGGCCTCGAACTATCCAAATATTCACTTTCTAGAGATGGCAGCAAATGGCTGGACTACCTGAGGTCTGCAATGGCCGAAGTAGACAATCCAAATTGCAGAGTTCTTGCAATTACATAGTTCCTGCCTTTCATATCCTTTCATAAGTAATAATAATAGCAGTGTGTGTCGGGGTCATTATTTTTGTTTGTTATTAGGACATGCATTTTTGTGTTTTTATGTTGTAAACCACCCTGTGATCTTCCAATGAAGGGCAGAACAGAAATTTAATAAATAAAATTGCCAGCCCCTGCAAAGTTGGTGTGCTCTTAGAACGGATAGCCTACCTTGCAACCAAGCTAGAACCAGACCTGACAATCAACGATTCACACCTTGCAATGTACATGCTGAGCTCCGTAGCTGTAGAAGGTGTACCACGGTCCTCTCCACTTCTGCAGAGCTCCTTCAGAACCTTATGTGTACACAGATCAACCTTCCCCAGGATCCAACAAACTGCTCTTTCCTTTGTTTTTCTTTCAGTGTCTCATCGCACTACATGGTTAAACTATGGTAAATGTAATAGTGGCCGCCAACATGGATGGCCTTAAAGGAGGATTGGGAAATTCATGAAGGAGACAGCTGTCAATGGCTACTAGCCATGATGGCATGTCCCTTCATACTAGTGCCTGGGAATCACAAGTGGAGAAAGAACTGTTGTGCTTGGGCCCTGCTTATAGGCTTCATATAGTCATCTGATTGGTCATTGTAGGAACAGGATACTGAGCAACATGGGGCCCCTTTGGCCTGATCCACCAGGATGCTTTCTTATACCGCTGTTTCACTCAACCTCTCACTGCACACCACCCTTCCACCTTGTTCCTTTCTCTGTGAACATCACCAACTGACTTCCTTCCTCTTTTCCCTCCTCTCTCAAGCTTCCCATTTCCCACTCAAGCAGCTCTCCTTCCTCCCCCTGCCCATCTTCCTCACTGGCATAGCAAACCCATCTTCCTCCTTAGCATCAATCTGCCACCCATGATCCCTCTCCTTTCTCCCAGCCCTCCCCTCCCCTCTCCCACCAGCTGTGCCTCTGGAAAATCTAGAAATAAACTGCAGAATGTTAATTTATGAATCAAGGAGGAGTCATGGGGGACCACTTGATTTCATTCCCCACCAGGGCCCAGCATTTTCTATTATCTTTCCCTACAGCAGATAGCTGCTTCACCCACCCCTCAGACTTTCTCCCTCTGCCTGCCCCCCTGCTGCCACCACTGTAACAGCCAGCCATGTTGACACCATCCCCGCACCCCCCCACTTCCCCGCCCCAGTGAAAGATTCAAACAATCAGATCTATGTCTGGTCTTTGACCTGCTGAACCGAACCCTCACTCGACCTTGGCAGCCCTGCCTAGGGGTGCAGAATTTTGACAAGCTCCAAACCCCCCAAAAATTATGATCAACAAGAAATGCAGTGTAAAACATACCAAACCCCAAAATTATTTCCTCAGTATTAAAAAAAAAGAAGTGATACACATCTTGACAAAAGGAAGAGCCATCCCCAGGCATATGAAAGGTGTTGAAAACCATACATGAAGACAAAATGCCAGTGCCCAGAGAGTCCCATCCCAGTTAGAGACACTGAAAATAAACCTCTTGAATATGAACCCCCCCTTTTTTTTTTTAGTAGAGAGAGGGGAGATAGGGGCCATTTTAAATGGATAACAAGATCAGCATTCAGCTGCTGAGGCCCACTGAGTCACACATGCTTAACAATACTAGAGACAATCCCATTTTTGCACCTCTGCTTTTCAAAATCATTTTCACCATCTTCTTCTTATTGCTGCTTAACAAAGATACACTCATCGTCTTCCATTCTGGTGCCCAAATACAAACAGATCCTAAAACCTGACATGAAACAGAAGGAGCAAAGAGAGCAGTAGGGAGTAGGATAGTGCATGGTGACAGTTCCTTACTTGGATAACGTAGCCATACATACAGGTCTGGGACAAAGGGAGGAAGCCTAGCAAAAGAAACACCAGCATTTCAAGATCACAGACTAATGCCTTATGGGAAGAACATCCTTACATTGTATTAGCCCCCAAAGCCCCCTTTCAAAACAAAAGAAAATACATAAATGGCTTTAATGCATTGGCCGGGAAAACACACACACACACACACACACACACACACAGACGGTACTACAATAAGGCCACGTCTCTCTCGTGCATCTGAATAACAACCAGAGCCTGTATTGTTCCCTTTCGATGGGAAGCCCATCAAGGCAGCTCCTGCCGCTGACATCCGTGTTGACACTTCAGTCAGCGGCAAGAACAGATTTCTGCATTTGCAATCGCAAGCCCCCCTTCCCATTTCCCCTCCATCCCCTCAAGAGTTAAAACTGCTAGAAGATGTCAGTCTCCAGATTTTCTGACACTGCTGTTATTTTTTTTAAAAAAACAACCATTTACAAATCAGAGAGGAAGGGGGCAGGGAGATGCAAGATGCTTTGAAGACAAGGAACAAGACCCCTCCACCAAAGCAAGGTTTACGCACCACTATAAAACGAAAAACAAAGCATGCATTTTCTGGGATCCTCTTTCTCCTGCAGCGGAGACAGAGAAGCTCCTTGATTGCAAAAGCAGAAGAATGCGTGGCTCAGGTGTCTTGCAAACGGAAGGTCCACAGGCCAGCCCTGTTCCCAGTGTAACAGCAGCAAAGGGGAAAATGAGGTTGGGGGAAGCATTACCTGCAGTCTGCCCTGTCATGCTGTATCCAGACTGTCGGCCTCTTAGGGTCTGGTATTGTCATCGAAAGCAATACCCTTTGCAGGAAAAAAAGAAAGAGTGGGGAGTGGGTGAGGAGGGAAAGGAAGGCACACTTCTGGCTTAGTCCATTAAAAGGCTTCCCTTTCTCCCCATAGAGCAGCTTCTGACCTCCAATCCTAACATTAGTAGCTTGGATGCTTCACTGCCTCAGTGCTGTTCCCTAGCACATGTCGTCACCAGGCTCCTGCCGCCCTGATTGGCTGAGAGGGAGCAGATAATAATACTACTAATAGCACTGGCAGGGCAGGGGAAGACAAATCTTATGTTTCAGAGACAAGCAGCTGTGGGAATCTGAGGTGGGCGGCCTCATTCAGAAACTTGAATCCAGCCCCCCCCCCCCGCGCGCCAGTGGCCTTTGACCTTTTCCCTCCGCTGGCTTTAGATTAAAGCCTATGCAAACTTTTAAAATGTTGTGCTTACCCAAGCACATTCCTTATGGCTATATGAATGGAAAGGGTATTATATTATTATTATTATCAGGTGGATCCTGATTATTTCAGGACCCAGAGCAGCAGCAACAATAACAATAACAACAACAACAAAAACTGCCCTCTTAGAGCAACTCACACTCAGGGTCATAAAATAATTTCAAAACACACACAATTTAAACAAGTGGCAACATTAACACACTCTAGTCTAGCCAGGCATGTCTCACAAACCAAATTTAATAATATGGCATGGTTCAAAATTAAAACTAGCTCAGCATCTTTGTGTATGAGAACTTGATTTTTTTTTAAAAAAAAGTCTTAAAGGCCTGTTTGAAAGCAGATAACAACAAAATATTCTTAATGCAAAGATTTCCAAAGAAGCCCTAATAGAAATAGACTGAAATAGAGGAGCAGTTCTTTTGTTTTTTACACACACACACACACACACACAAATTAATTGCACTTCAGGACTGCTGCTCACACATGTTATTGGCTTGCAACCCTGACAACACAAATGGGTTTCTTAAAAGCTACCTTTTAAAAAACTATGGTAAGATAGCAAACCTGCTGGTTGCTTTTTATTATTATTATTATTATTAGGGGGAAAGGAGCCAGTATTTCTTGGCTGTCTAGCTTTGCTCAAAGCAAGAGAATAGATAACTGTAACAAACATTTAGAGGCTGACATATTGGGGTCGTTAAAGAGACAAATTACATGTGTTAATCTCATGTGCTGCTTGAGGAAGCCACCTCACTTGGCTGAATGGTAAAGCTGGGTTAGCATCCAGAAGGTAAAGAGAGGAAGGCAGATGCCAAAGGGAGGGATTCCTGCAACCAAGTTGCCATCACTAATAAGGCCCTCACATGCATAGTTTTCTGATTTGTATGCTATGTCTATGAGCAATGTGTCAGGGGTAACATGTTTACATGTGATGAAGTTATAGGTAGCTACACTATTACCTTCAGCCAGGTTGAGGACCCATCGCAGCCAAAAAGGATGGCTTCTCCCACACCAAAAAAAATGACACACTTTTACTTTAGAACATCCAAAATCTTGTCATCATATTCATTTTTCAATAATTGCATGATCTGGCAGAAAGCACAAAAGAAATCCAACTAAGCATTGTACTGTGTGTTGGCTTTGAGTCTCGCCCCCCGTCCAATAAAATATGATCATTCTGATGTCACTGCAAGAAATGGTGCTCTGAAATTTCCAAGTGTGTTTCCTTGGGAGTATCACTGGAAATAGATTAAATCACATACAGATACTCTACAGGGGAAAGAATTGGGCACTTCCACAACAATGTACATACTACAGCTCCTCCATGGAGATTTCATGGCTGACTGTAGCTCACCGTAGCTGAGTATGGAATGACAGCATTGTCACTGGTTCCTATCCATCTTTCTGTCTGGACAGGGCCAGACAGCCCATGAGGCAAGTTGAGGCAACTGCCTCGGGTGGCAGGTTCCACAGGGGCAGCAGATCACAACAGAGAGCTTTATTCTTGTTCCTGATGTCAGATCTTCACTCACCCTTTCCATCCTTGGTGGGAAAGAGACACCCGTTTGTGGTTCATGCAGGTGCTAACGTGTCTTGGGGTGGCCCTGTGTTTGGGTCTCCTGCATGGTGAGGCAATCCCTCACTTGCTTTGGTGGAAAGAGCTCCTCAGCATCTCACATTAAACCTAACTACCAGCCTAGTGGACAAAAGAGAGTCAGTGTGGTATAGTGGTTAGAATGATGGGCTGGAACCTGGGACACTAGGGTTCAAATCCCCACTAAGCCATAAATCTCACTAGGTGATCTTGGGCCAGTCACTGCCTCTCAGCTTAACCTACTTCACAGCATTTTCATGTGGATATGGTGGGGAGGGAGAGAAACTACCTTGAGCCGCTTGGAGGATGTAAATCTAATAATAAGTAAATGAAAGGTTTTTAAATTTTGGTTGCCCAGTTTCACATACACTTAAAGGGGGATTCAAAGTTTGAGTTGGGGAAATAGTCAGCCATCACAGCTTGATCTAGAGTCAACCAGATGCATGAGTACACAAAAAAGAAATGAGATGTTGGAGGTGGAAAACTGGAAGACTAAGGATGGAATCTGCCTGTCAATCAAAATATTCCAAAATAGCAGTTCATTAGTTCCCAGAAGGCATCGTTTGACAGCTCATGGCATTAAGAGATCCCTTCTGTTGTTTAATTTTACACAGGCTGCTCATGAATAGCAACATTCTCTGATAAACAGTCTCCCCATTACCCCTGAGCAATTAGCTGTGAGCCCCAAGGAGGAAGTGGGACTTTGTGATATCAGCTGGGTTAAAGATTATGACATCAGAGCAGCCAAGCCAATGGCAAGATATTGGGTCTGGGTGCGAATGCTGGGTGTGAATGCTGTTATGAGCAAACTAGCTCACAATGAGAATGAGTCTTGTGAGAGAAACAGAAAGCAGTCAGATGGAGAGATGGTGAGAATTCAGGGGGGAGACATCACTCAGAGCCCAACATCCAAACAAGCCCTTTCAAGAACATCAGTAAGTCGTTCTCTGTCATTGTGTGAACGTCAGCTTTCATCAAAATGTGAACATCAGGAAAGTGCTTGCCATTCTCAAAATAACTAAGAAGATAATTTCAAAGAGATAGATGAAAGTTGCACTGTGCATTGAAAGTTTGCCCTGCAACAATGAGGATTAGAAACTTTGCTCTTTTATCAATGCTTTGGATTTCAATTCGCATCAGTCCCAGTCAGCAGAGCCATATGAAGGTGGAGTTTATGGAACCACATCCATGCTGTCTAGGGCTGATGGGAGCTGGGAGTCTGAGACATCTGGAGGGTACTAGATTGGCCTGGCCTGTTCATGTTTAAAACAGGAGATAAGGATTTAAATAATAATTCTTCAAAACAAAAAAGGTGTGGGAGTGAGGGGAGATACACCCTCTCTGTGCCCCATGCTTTCTACAGCAGTCAGTTGTTTGAAACACTTTCCTCTTGACTCAGCATTTTTCTCTCCACTGTTCTTTTTGCAGGGCTGGCTCAAGACATTTTGCTGCCTGAGGCAGAACTGCAAATGGTGCCTCTGACACACACACACAGAGAGAGAGAGAGAGAGAGAGATCAGAAGTCAAGGGCAGAGTACCCAAGATAGTAAACCTGAGGCAAAGGATTCCAGCAGCATTTTTCATCATCATAATCTGTTTATTTCTATACCACCTTTTGGCCAAGACCCCCAAAGCTGTGAACTAATTAATACAAGAGAAAATATAATAGCATTGGTTGGCATCCATCTGTCTCAGGGGACAATGGAGGAGTGTGCCTTTGGAGGTGAGGTTAAACTGTTGGAAGTTACATTGGCTGCTGTGGCTGTAGAGACCAATACTAGGAGACACAGGTGAGAGCTGGGTACATGGCGGAGACCAAAGGTGTACAAACTACCCTAACAGGAGCACGTCATGCCCCCCACCAGAAGTGCTACTCTTCCCCTAGCATCCCATACACCCCAGCGGTGGAATATTATTGTAATAAACTGTAATAAATAAATAGATTGTGAGCCTGAGGGCAGGACCTATTTCATTACTGAACTTTGCAACCTGCTCTGTGAGCCTTGAATTTTTTAAGGGTGGGGGGTGGGAGGGGGAGGTGGTTGAAGATAAGGGTTTAAAAAAGATCATCCAAATAGATAACTAAGTAAGCAATTCTCTCCCTGACACCTGAGGAGATATGTTGCCATCAGGACCGACAGTGCTGGGGTCAATAGACTCGTTAAATATAATGCTCATAATATGGAAAAAGTTTAAAATATCAAAAAAAGATCAAATATAGAAAATCTTATTTTAAAAACACAGTGGAATAACAGAATACGAATTCCACTGACATAATGTTATGGAATTGCATCTTGCCTTTTAAATATTATTGCAATATTTTATTTATTGGTTTTTAAAAACGTGTAGTGCATAAACGGGTTGGTGAAGGTACCATTGCTCAGTGGTAGAATATATGCTTTGCACACAGAAGGTTGCAAGTTAAATTCTAGAACCCCTTCAGATCACAGCTGATGGGTAAGACTTCCACCTGAGACTCTGGAGAGCTATATTTCTCTGTTAGACCAGTTTGCACTAAGCTAGAGATGGAACAGTGGTCTGCCCTGCTGTAAGGCAACTTCATAAGCTCCTGTTGCAATGATCTGGTTTTAGCAACATCTGAATTTCTTAACACAAAATGCCTCCCCACTTTTTCTCTCACCACCATCACCCCACTTAAATCCGAGACAGTACACTTTACTTCCACGCAATTCTGGCCCATCAGCAATTTAAATCGCTCACAACAGCAACACCACAAGGCTATTTTTGCCCTTGCTATTTGTCACGGCTGGGACGTTTCAGGAGGGAGAGCATCAAAAAGAGAGCAAGAAGCGCAAGGGAAACTCAAAATTAAAGTTTTTGGACCACTTCGACTATGATGTCATGGTTTCCCAGCCGCACTCTGATTGGCCAGCGTGGCTCGAGCATCTGCTGAGAGCTAAGGGCTGGTTAGCTGCCGGAGGTTCAGACCTTTCAGAGCAGGTTTGGATCAGGG